CGGTCACGTTTGAATAGGCCGGGTAGGACGTGCTTGGGTCGTCTGAGTGAGTGAATTGATCTGGCCGAGATGTGATGGCGATCGTGAAGTTTGCTGGGCGCTTGAGTGCGCAATTTAAAAATGAATTTCTTCTGTAACTGTTATGCACAGTGGTGCTGTGAAGCGACTGAAGGCTTGTTAGCAAGCGGAAAGATTTCTCTATCGAATGATGTAAAAATCCGAAGGGTTGTAAATAAAATCCACGAAAAACTGCGAATGGAGAGGTTTTGCGTGTGAAATTCACTGGCAAACTCCGCGAAAAACACAGACACAAGCTAGAGGTTGAAATGTCAATGTCTCTAACTGATAGAATACACGTACAGTGATCTTAGAAATGCATTCCACATCAAGTTACGTTGTTATAAGCCAATGATTATTGTCAGTAAAGTCATACGAAGTCGTACGAAGTATAGGTAAATGTATTGAATCGTAAATACATAGAATGCATTCATGTGACAGAAATGTTTTGCACATAACTGCTACACTCGCCACTAACTAATAACCGCAGCTTGGTACTGGGAAGTAATGACTTCGCCGAGATCGTCGCTTTTATGATTCAGCGCCCTTACAATGCAGAAACTAGCATAAGTCACCCATCATAGAAGATATGTAGCTGCCAGTGTAGCGCGCCTCTTTGACGGAAATGTCTTGGTGAAAGCGCTCACAATTCTCATCGCTAACGGATCCAAATTTTGCGAGGAAAAGGACAAGGTGATTATGCAAAAATTGCATCTTGAGTGCCATGCGAGCAACAACAGTCCGATAGTCCGCAATGAGTTTCTTGTAATGTCTTTGTAGATCTCTGAATTTTTTCTGCTAACTATCCTGTACACACCGCTTTGCATAGTTGTCACGCCGCTAATTCAAAGACACAAAACGGGCACTTTTATGGACTCTATATGAAGGACACGTTTGTCGTCGTTGACACCGTTCCACAAGCGGTGCAATTACTAGCAATGATGTAAATGTGTCATCGCGCAATTAAATTAACGAATGAAAACGAATCTGGTAGCGGGTCCCATTTCATAGATTTTGACCTGCAGATGAACCCAGGTGGTTCAGATATTTGGTCTGTATAGAAGAAACCAATGTGGACAGAACACTATCTCAGTTTTAATAGTTTCGGTCCTACGAACCACAAACGGGCTTTCATGTGTACAACGCTTGCCAGAACTAGTCAAAGTTACTCCAAGGAAACAATGGAAAATACCCTTCAGCTTTTCGCCTCGAACTTACGGGAGAAAGGTTATCATGAGCGGCTGCAGGTTAAATCTCTATCTTTCTATGCAACTTAGTCGTTCTGCATCTTAAATGCACACAGCTGATGAGAATACTTGAAATAGCCGAATTCAGTTTAATCTGTTGAAATGAGTCATTTTTTCTCTTTTGCGATTTGTGAAGAGAAAGTGTTGCATCAAATGAAGTCACCTGGCATTCGAAAGCACTGTCTGCCATTATCCGACAAATATCAGGTTTAATAAATAGCTCTAGTTTGGGCTTCGTTTCACTGATTTTCAAAAACATTTTTTTCAGATACTGGAACGCAAAATCATCCCGCTTGAGGGCTTTTACGAGGTTTTCGGTCAAACTAAGCTTAATGTACAGCAGTGCTAGATAGATATGATCAGGTGGCACAAGTGTTATAATCTATACACTCATTTGCCCTGCAATACACTTCGTCCTCTGTGAGCATTTTTCTGTTTCGTAGTGCTGTTGATCGGCTCTACTGTCCCACAAGCACAATAAACTGCGATATTTTGTGAAGCCCCTTTGCATACTGATTAGGAATCCAAAGACTTTGAAATCAGCATAAACGTCCCAACAGGACTTATCGTAATTCAGTGCAGCAAGTATCAGTTGCATCATTTCGTAAGTCTTTTTCATATTAATGGCATGCAACGGAGGAAGAGTTGGGTACACATTTCCACTGTGGAGCAGTATGGCCGTAAGATTACTATTAGACAAGTCAACGAACAAACGCCATTCATCATTGATATGCCTGACGCCAAGCTCCTTCATCATTCCTTCCAAACCTGAACAGTAACATAACATTACTTGTGTCATAGAAACCGGACACGTTAACACTTCGCTTTCTTTATACAGTAACCTTACTGTTTGCCGCGTCATTGCCAATGCTGCAGCCGAAATGCCAGCAAGTCGGCCTTGCCTTTAGGTAAGTCCAGGTCACGTATCAAGTCATTCAGCGCTGATTGTTCAATAAGACCTGCCTTGACAACATCAGCTGCAGCGTTTTCATACATTTCAGAGTCAGGGGAAGGTGACGATGCCGAAGCATTACTCATCATCAGTGTCATGTTCACCGGAGGCATTGGAATGGGTAAAGTGCAATCATGAGGAACAGGTCGAATAGATGATGGAAGATTGGGGAAAACAATTTAGTCCTTGATTCGCTTTGAGATTTCAATGATACTGGTTAGGCAGAAGTAGCAGTCTATCGTGTGATCCTTCCTCTCCACACCATGGGAATTTCAAAGGGCATCTTTCCTTTACCTGAGTCAAATGAAGATTGCACGACACGCAACCAATATTCGTCGCCCACTTTCCTCCTTATCTCCCAGTTTCCTCACGAAATAGGTCTGGTAAGCAGACTTCAGTAGTGAAGAAATGGGTCTTCCCTGTGACTTCGTAGTAAACTGTCCATAGACGTAACAAAAATTATTTCGGTCATCGACACACCAGCGTCTCTCAGCCATGATCAAGACATCAATAAAGGAGACAGCGCTCAATTGCCTTTCAGTAGCAGATGGATACCATGTCCAAGAGGATTTCTTTTCCTCGATTACAGGGAGCTAATGGTACAATCACAGGCGAGCATTTGGTGCATCGAACGCATTGCTTAGCTGAAATCAAAAATTGAAATTAAACAACCCCGACGTGATGGAAACATAAGGTTTGCATATACACAATTAGCTCACTTTGTACTACTAGAAACCTATGTCGTTTCTGTTATGAAAATGATGCGTCACAGTGTAATCTACTCGATACGATCAGTTTGTAGACGTCATGAGGCGCTTGAATACGCGTGAGCACGCACACACACACACGCACACAGACACACACACACGCACGCACACGCACAAAGCACGGGTGCGTTGACTGTTAGGTCGATAAGGATCACTTTTGATCACGGTCCTTGTCCGAGAGTACGGCCAGGACAAAGTGTAAAGTTGTATCAGTGCTCTCTGCTTGTACAACCGGCTGAAACAGTCTGATTGCAACGCTCAGGGCTGGCCAGCAAGCACATTTCAACTCCTTTTGGGTTGCGTTTCGATACTGTGTAGGCTACCCTGAATGAGACATTTGTCCGGATTTGATGGCCGGTACCAAACCGATGCTTAAGGATGAAGCTGCCAGGATGCAATGAGGCAGCACGGTGCTCCGCTATCCGCCTACATTAACCTCTAGTATTGTGCCTCAGGTACATTAAACTGCAGGTGCAGGTGAACTGATATCGAACAAAGGATGCGAAACCAACAGCACTTTATCTTTGTCACTTTTGCTGATGAACGGAGCAGTTTCAGCAAGGATGTAAACTCCACTGGCCAGATTTGTTTGGATCATTGCCTGCGATAGTATGTTGCCCACTTATTCAAAAGCGATCGCACTGGAAAGGAGCCACAAGACAAGCTCTGTCTTTCTTCAAGTCGGTATGGTTTTCAATGGATCCGAAACTGCCGAATGCTTTCTGATACACGTAGCAGGATACCCGTTGCTCATTGGTGTCTTGTGAAGGAACTCTGCCTAAGATTCCGGTGTTTCTGGGATGCAAATTCGTGCGGCACGAGAATACAGGCAATGCGTAAGGTTTCACTTGCACTTGATGAAATTAAGAAAGTGCGTGTACTGGCCGACCCAAGTTGTCTTCCGGAAGACTGTTCTCTCAAGTGAGCCATTGGTTCGACGTCGCAACAGAAGATCCAAAAACGGAAGGTCATCATCGTTCTCTAGTTAGGAAGTGAATTTTAACGATGCTGCGCGTTGTTGAACTAGTCCTGCTAGTGAGCTTGGTCCACGTGCATGTCATATATAATGAACGTGTCAACTATTTAGTGTCGATAGAAATGAAGGTAATTGTGATGGTATCGAATAGGGCCACGCTAAACGTTTTTCTTCATTTTTCCCCACGCTGCCTTTACTCAAAAGAAGAATCTAAGAAGATACCATTATATGAAGGTGTCGTCAGCTGTTCAGCATTCACTTGTCCTATTCCCATGTTCATGGCAACTAAACAGTTCATTACTTGAACTACTCAGTATTAAACGTGCTCTCCTATATTACTAGGCGCATTAAATTCAGCTCGAATAGCCATCGATAACAACCTTAATTTTTGCATTCTAGTGAAAATAAGCTGGTATTAGGACGTGTTCGTAGAACCTCAGCATAACCCAAACGTCATTTCTGTAAGAGGCACATGGAAGTTGTTGTTAAATTGTGTAGACTAGAAGATTTGCATGCCAAGCAAGAGATATATTACTCATCGGTTCGATTTTACGGTCATTGTATGCAAAAATAGGTACAATCACTAGGGAGTTGTCCAAAACAGATTACTTTCGTCGTCGCAAAACTTTTGACTGTCTCGGAAATGCCAATGAGAAGTTACCGGTCACTGGTTACCAAAAGGGATATGATTTTGCACACTGCATCAATGTTGTAAAGCGGAAGAACGCGAAATGGTTCTACCATTACTCCGCAATTTGCGTCATTTATTATTTTGATGGGAATTTTATATGTGGCCAATTTCAACCAAGCAGACCTATTGTTTCCTGATACCCCACCTGTGAGTTCTTTTTTCCGATGTAATGCGGTAGTTCAAGCAGGCTCAGTAACCTACGAACACCTGGAAAAAGCTGTTTGCTCTCATTCCCAAGTTATAGCGTCCTTGTAGCCGCGCTTTAATAACCGCTGAAATAAAGGAGTCCATCATTTTACTCTCTGTTCTCAGACTCACATAGAAAAATGGTCCGCAGCTCGACCGAATTCCTGTTGTCATTGTCTTTCCTGATTCGAACCTGTGTGTTGTCCGTGCCACACTATAATATGAAGTACCAACAGGTCTCGTCCATCTTGACAGATGGGGACTCAGTGGAGTTGACACTGACTTACACAGACAGAAATCGGCTCCGGCTTCGCTGTGATGCTAAAGGGATTGGTGCGAAAGAAAGCTTGGTTTTGCTCGACTGTCCGCTTGTTCATACCGGAGTATGCAGGCAAAACTGTCTCAGCCCGTGTCCAATAATCGACGGTGAGTGTGGCCTTTTGTCACATATAATCATGAAAGCGGTTGTCAAGTCTTAGAGTTAAACTGGCCATGTATTCTGTATGCATACGTACATCTGTATTATAACTGGATGCTTTAGTTACATCGTATTTGTTTCCCTCAATCGTCGGTAAACTTGCATAGAACTGGACAAAACCGGGCTTTTATGGCTAAGTAGATACAAGCACACAACAATCAACTTAATAAATCGGTACGCAAACTCAAAACTAATGCTCACCCCATAAGCTAAAACATTCAGTTAGCTTAGTGTTTGTAGTCAACATCAAGTTGTTGCTTGTTACGCCGTTTCAAGCACCAGTTGCGAATCTGAATAAAGGGAAGCATACTTATGCCACCCGACTAATAAGTACTTAAGAATCGGGTCTTGTCGCCAAGATAGAACCAAATAATAGCTTATTTAATTTTTGCGCTATATTATGATATTTTGTGTCTCCGAAGTAGACGGCATTATCGAGCGCCCGGTAAACTTTGAACAGGATCATCTGTCATGTCTTTGCGTATCACCAAGAGAAATCAAACAAAACTTGACCAGTCTATGCTCTTAGTATTGCGTTATCGAACCATGTCTTACACTGCATTTTAGATCGGAATCAACAAGATATGAGGGTGATAGCGATTACCGAATCACGAAACGCACAGATGTCAGATGTGCCACTTGGCAGTTAAATTAATTTGATTGCTGCTACAATCCCTATGAAGCCAGATTGATGAGCATTATACGCTGGGGGTTCAACTAGCAGTAACAGGTTTACTGATTGTAAGCTCAGACCATTTCTACTTATGCATTCAAATATATATGATAGGGAAGTGGAATACACTATTTTGAACCACAGCGTCACTCCTATAGCTGGATTTCACTGGTACCTAACTACAACAACCGTATGGTTGAATTGTAACCCGCAATCTGTATTCAGACCTCGGTTCACTCTGAAGTAGACCTCGGTCATCAGGATTACAACCCCAACATCCAACTCCATTAGCTAACCACACAGCGGGTACTCCAAGTTCTACTTCGGATTCCTTACCGCTGTGCCAAGTGCTTTTCACGGATCTAAGTGGAATAGTTACCAAACATTTCAGGCTATCTCTATCAGATGTGTTCAAATTAAGATGAAATCGGTCATGGTTGTCAATGTTGGGAGATTTACCACTGAAAAACCTCAAATGAAACCCTAGTTGTTTGCAAAGCCGATGCGTATAGCAAGCAAAGCGAATGACCGATGAAACACATGTCTAACTTCGTCAAGGTGCTCGGGCAACTTATTCAATTTTCAATACTTATCGGTATGAATTTTTGATCCATCTTGTAAGATTTTGGTTAGGAGTCTCCGAAGCACAATCTTATCTTCCTAACTCTAGAATCGAATAACGCAGGTCTGAGTACCTAACAGTGATTTGTCCCAGATGTTCGGAGACGTCAGTTTCTTGAATTACAGGTCACCATGACAAGGAACAGCATATGGGACCTACTTCTAAGAAATTATAATGGGAAACACTGCAGCCTAAATCTTAACTCCGATGGTGCATCCTATGGCCGGCATACAAGAAGAAGAATATGCCCCAGTAGCAATAAACTGATTCAGACCCATCTCACGCCACTTTAATCACTTGGTATTATCTCAGTAAAGTGGAACCCCATAGCAACAACACATGTTGGCCAAAAATATAGACGGTAACGAACACTTCCGTACTCTTTATAGCGCCACGGTCAACAATGACCAATGATCTCTTGGGATCCTAAATAAATGCAAAGTTACAAGTTGGATGTTTGCCAGAAAAGGTTGATACTGGGAGCACACGGATTTGGGGCCTCAAATGGGAGAGAGGGAAAATACATACATCTATATATGTACCAAGTTTAACTGATGAGCAGTGGGGATTTTGTGTAATTTTAGGTTTAATTCGTCATAGTTTTCTCTTAGTCAGGCAGATTCCCACACGTGTGGAAAGGCATCCGACAGCTGTTTCGGCCTTGTGAGTCTCGTCATTGGTGCGCGGGTTCCGACCGCATGACTACCAGATGCCAGCAACTTGCGCCACTAAGCTTCTCTTAATGTAGAAAGAAAGAACTTAACGGCCAGTGATTGATTCTATATAGTGGTGCTCGATTACATGAAGAAAACAGCTTCACGCAGTAAGAAAACATCAATCCAATGTTTCCTCAGTTTTGGTGAGAAAAAGCATCGCATTCGGCTATAGAATAATTGTACTATACGTCGTAGCGGATATTTACCCATCTGTGACATACTACATAGTGAATAATTTTGCTAGTCGCCGATAGTCATTGGTAAATACTTTGTAAAACTGTTTCGAAGATGGCACAAGCGGTGCAAATGTGGATGGGACCCGGCATGATTGAGCAGTACCATCTCAGACATTTATATGTATACTTCTGCATCAGACATTTAATTTGTTATGAATATAAATAAAACATGCGCCGATAGAATATTTTGGTGAAAACAATCTAGGCGCAGCTCCGGTATGCAAAGGGGTGACTGATGCAATTGTAACTAAATTCTTCAGTTTCCTATATCTGAACCGTCCTCATCCCCATTGAGTATAGTAACGCACAGTTCAAAACATTCGCTGCAAACCATTGTATCTGTAATCACTTTCATTTTCCTTAGAGTTCACCCGTTATTGACATTATGAAAAGTGGGTGTACTTGAGCTTCCGATTTTTCTTTCGAATAGCAACCATCTATCCAGAGCTACAGTTTTCGAATATATGTGTACGCCTTTGGTAAGTCTGTTCGTTATAATCAGATTAGCAACACCGAACATTTCACTTACGTATAAAAACAGATATTGCATTATGGCAGATTAAGGGGTGCAGAAAGCGGACTCCTTTTTAAAGTACTTCCGAAGCTGTGCTTCATTCGTTACGTAATAAGGTGTACGAAAACAAGGCTGGTTTTGAAAGCCCAGTGCGAGCTGTACGGAGTCTAAGTAGGACTGCACTATAATATACAGTGGTCAAAAGCAATCGATTAGCGAACACGTAATACACTCGCCAGCTCAATGTGCAGCGGAGCTAATCAGAGTGGATGGCCTTAGTAACCATTCGTTTATGGCCCCCCGTCAAGATAAAACAACTATCCGCCCTATTACAAACAGTAATGTAAGCCCGAATTCTGGAGTTCCTCGGAATGTTTTCATTTTTGACTTTCCTTTGATATATTACTTAATTAATTAACCTCTGCACACACTGTTGCAAAGAATTTCCTACAGAAAAGTTTTTCTTTCTAGGTGTACCCAATTGTCGCTGGAATGCTGGTAGCCCAATCAAATCTTGTCGACAAACAAACGGCTCAGCTGACCGAGTGACATTCGAATACGACATTGAACTAAGTAGTGCTGTTAAATCCGGTCATTGGAGATGCATGTTTCGTGGTCGAAGCTCAAACTCGGTTCGCTTAGAGTATCAACCCCTTGAAACAATAACAGTGGAAAGTTTCCCAGCGGTAGTCCCAAAACCTTTGACTATGACAAACGCTTCATCTGCGTTGGATGCTGCAACACTGAACCAAGACGTTCATTCCGGACTGCAGCTCGAATTTGGTATGTGACTATATCGGAGCACCAAGAACAGTCGATCAGTTTTCCATCTGATGCTGAATGGTCTTAATGATATGCTTCGTATCTGATTCTTTACTCTTAGGATCTTTAAGTAAATGTCGTTCCATCACTTGTATCGGCGATTTCCTTGTGTGTATCCGTGGTGGTTGGTGAAAATAGTGAACAATTCGATGAAAAACAACAAATCAGCTTATTCAACTAAGCATTCATATTTCTAATAAATACCGGATGGCTGTCCTCTATATGCGGCTTCTCTGCACCAAAGTTCCGTTGAATGAAATTATTAACCATCAACATAAACTTAACACAAAAACAAAACTCATTTATGATTATTCATTGAAAGGTGAAGCTTGCTGTCTTGGTGCAAACGCAATATCACGTATTATTTTACGGAAAATCACATCAAAACTAAACAAATAAATGCTATGTTTCCCAACAGTATGAGGCACAGTCCAAAGGAGTAGTCTGATTTATTTGTACAACAGTGTCGCATAAAATAGTTATTTATTCCTGTTTTGTACAACGAATCCCAGTTGTGTTTTTGGGGTGGTTGGCAGTTTAAAATTTTAGAGATATTAAGAAAGTGGGAACAACAACAAATGCAGATTCAACCAAAAGTTCAAGCAACTTAATACAGCTATTCAAAGAACCGACCCTAGGGGACTTGCATCCATGCGTACTATTCCCTCGATAGGTTTCACCCGCACTTCCATACTCCCATTGACTGTGTGCCAGTGTGCCAGAATAGCAAGTAAGTTACCACCTGCTTTACAAATATTTTTTATTGACAGAGGGCGTCAATTAACCCCTTAGACCCACTGCTGACAGACGCAATCGTTCGTATGCCCAATGAGGGTGCTCATAGTATCATTCATTCGGCACCTCCATGCAGAAGCTATGTTGGTGACATACTGCTAGTCACTGAGCCTAACGAGAATACTGCGCTTACATAATCGCACCCAACAGCAAACGCCTGTATCCGAACGTCCCTTGGAGGACTGTGCTATGCAGCTGTCTTCCATACCTAGACATACTGCTCACAAGACCAGTGGCTGGCTTGAACAAAATATTGGTCTACCAGAAAACGGCCTTGAAATGTAAGTAAACATGACGTAAAACGGCTGGCTGACACAACACAGTCGCTCCTTAGTCTGAACTTTGTTCCATTAAGGTCAAAGACTTCCCACTCTTGACATGTTAAATCGATAAAAAACTAGATCCCAAAGATAAAATCCAATGGTTATACCTTGTAATACTTCAAGCACTTCAGTAATGATACGAAAATTGGAAATGCAACAGCATTTAACAAGAAACAGTTCTTTATTGAGTTGCGGTTCAAAAATGACCGTACCGTGAAGACCTCAAGCCGGAGAGCATCAAGATCATTAACATTTGAATGGTAACACGAACGAAGCCGTTCTATCTCCGGAACCCATGAATGAACAGTCACCAATGTGGTATATTCTGGTGTTTGAGCTGCTTTGTAGCTGGGGTTACAGGACAGCTCGAACACAGTGAGCACAAGTTACTGAACGCTGTTCAGTTAAGGGTGCACGAGTTGGGCATTTACCAAAACGGAAAGTGATATACGCCCTAGGTATGCCATAGAGTGGCAAAGCTGTAGTCTGTGCTACTACATTTTAACATTTGATCAATATCGGACATACATTTGCACCAAAACGATATGCTAAATCGCATTAAAGTGCTTGTGGATGTGCGAACTCATCGCGACTTTGCAGACAGAGCGCAATTGTGCAACCCCTTTCATTACCATGGTCTTAACAATACCTTGCTGGCTTCCAATTTGTGAACACAAATGCCAGCGAAGCGCGCGCGATTACTTTATGTGAGGCGGATGGTTTAACGCACCATCAATCCAAATTATGTATTCAGCTAAAGCAGGTTCGGACATGACAGAACGTGGAAGAGGGGTACACAGCTGAGATATCCGAACAGGAAAAAACGTTATGGCTGAACTCCAATCGGCTATACTGTGCGACCAAATACTATCGAGAACTTCTCAGTGAGACGATACATCTAACTTTCGCTTAGTTATGACATGCATGATTTGGATCCTTGAGGATCTCATACCGTTGGACCACCAGGCAGACAACAATCTTGTCTACTGAAATCTCCCGGGTCCTTACGTCTAAACTGGCTAGGAACGTGGAGCGAGTCTCTAACCTCTTTAATCGCTCTACTCTGTGGACTCTCAAGAATCGCTAGGTTGTGCTACTGCCAAATGTGCCACGGCTGGAGGATAATTTCTACATGTAACCACACGTTAACATAGAGCATTTACAAAACGTTAGGATCAAAACAGCCAGATGCTCTCCGCAATAAACCTAAGAGATGGCTAACATTTGCAATGCTTTCTCGGCTTGTGTTGAGCACCGGAGATCGTCTTGCCCAAGTATATAAAATCACTTTCAGACCTTAGGCACTGGGCAAAGTGAGGTGTTGAAGAGCCCTTCAGAAACACTGAGGTGTGCAACAATTGTGTTTCCTACAACATACTGGACGATTTTCCGGGGAGAGTATGTAGTGCTTGGCAATGGTTTGGAAGACATATACAGAAAACTGGTTTGCATCCTAAATATGCATGAGTGTGCTCTGTTAGCTGAAGTGAATGAAAGAAACCGCTGGTATCTAATCGAAATCAATCGCCAATTTATGAGCAGCTTTGGCCACTATGCAGTGTTTATTCCTCACTATAGCTTGCACTTCATATAACCAACCATCAATTCGGAATATCACCAGGCGTCTAGCTCATCCCAATGAACTCATCAAAGAAGCACACCGGTTGGTTTCACCAATAATTGGACGCCTGAACCCTGTACACCCGGAGCTTGCGTCACTAGCCCCAAGCCTATACTGGAAGAGCTGTGGCAGTCCCACTGAGATGGCATTACTAATCAGGATACCAACATTATTCACCTAAAGCATAAGTGACAATTTTGCCAGAAAATTCTACAAATAACCATAATGATTGAAGTAATCCATTTATGCCCAAATGTAAACAGTGTATACTTAATGCTTTAATCTAAACTGAAAATCAATAGTTGAAAATCAATCCCTTCTTTGTTTTTCAGTTACGCACTTACCACTGGAAGTGCTCCTTTTTATCCTTACGTTGGCCTGCATATCAATTATGTTCAACCTGTGGTTCATGATTCGTTGTTTTCGGATGAAGTTGCACTTACGTGAGTTCCAATTTACTTAACTTACCTGGAGCAATCACTTGCACAATTAACTTATATCTATGGAGCTAGATCATCCTGAAAACTTGCAGAAGAAAATGCTTGGGAATAAGGTTGTACTGTACAATCAGGGACAGGTAAGCGGCAACTGATAAGAGTACCATCCCTTCTCACAGTGCTGCGGCCCGGAGCAAATGCCTCAGAGGTACTTCGGCCTCAATGTGAAAGTTAAATTTTCGATGAGGTCATTCAGAAAAACAGACATAGATGACCCAGGGTAATCTCTGAATAAGCAACTACAATCAATCCCAAAACGTAACCTTGTCTTTACCAAAGTGGCATAAACATAATGGCCGAAAGCCGGCAAGAAATGAGCGCGCAGTTGCTCTTGCTTTACACTTATAAGAGTTTAATTCATATCACTGGAAAAATTCAATAAGCAAGTGTACGAAGGCACTTTTCAAGCTAATATTCACCAATTCCATTAAATTAAAAATGATACTATGCATGGTAACCCGTCAGCGTATTTGTCAACAGGATCGAATCTGTATGCCAAAAACGGCAGCACGGGCTTGTTAGTTTCTACAGTTAAGCGCTGATGTTATGCAATCCATATCCGATTTCCTTCGTGTTGATACTATCCAACAAGCATGAATCAACCGATTGAGACTGGTTGCCTAAGGACCACCAGACAAAAGACCAAGTATTGTGTTAAAGGTCTATGGTAAGCGCTAGCAATTCGTCTACCACGGTTAAGGTGGACTTTTATCTGGATGTTTGCGGACTAGAACCAAATGTATCACACATTCGTCATCAAGCAACTTCAAGTTCGCATTCGGCTGTACGCAGCATCTGTTTGTCTTCAAAAGTAGAAATTTATCAATGCTCCAAGATTCAGTGTTCTTAAGTTGTACTTTTCAAGTAGTGAAGACTAGGGCGAGAAAAAGCTAGGAAATGCCTGCTCACTTGCTAGGAGATATTTAAAATCTGGTGTGTGCTGTATCTTTTAGTTCAATGAAATGTCGAAAAAGCACTCCGGGCAATCACTGAATTTCCTTATTACGAATGTATCCAAATGCTAAAGTTCTCCTTACGGAAGGATCGGTGTGTTTTTACTCACTTTTTATAGAATCTCAACAGTAGAACGTATGTAACTCTATTTAATAAAATGGTTGTTTAATTTCTATGTAGCGCTAATCCCAAACGGATTATGAGAACATAAGTTGGAAGAAGCTGGTAGTAGCTCTTCAGAACAGCCGGTCGTAAAACGGTTTTAAGTTGAGATCGTTAGTTTGTAAGTGAATTAAATTTCGCCTATTTTCTGCGACATTATTCTTTCTGCCACTTCATACGGAATGCTTTGCTCCTGGTTAGAATAGAGTTACGTAGGAATAGCACGTGGGCTTTCATCAATGTACCGAGAATGCTAAAGTATTCCGTGGGTTTTACGATAGCACAAGCATACAAAATATAAGCGCCGGGTCCACATGGACAGTAGTTGTCATGCTCCATCAGACCCCACTGTCCAAAATTATATATATATATATATATATATATATATATTACAATCCGTGGTACAAATATTGTGCTATCAATATCATGGCGGAATAAGAAAAGTGGATACGAATAAGAAGCATGCAGCGGCGACGTAAGAGTCAGTTCTCTACAATACGCATCCAAATGGTTGTTTTACTGTGGCGTAAGCAACCAACAAAAAAAGACCTACGTTAATCTATAGCCGAGCGAATTTGCTGTTCATTTCTGAACGGTAGTGCGCATTTTGCATCCACTGTAACAAAGATTAAAGGATGGGTGTTGTCGGTGGATTTCATATGCACTAGTTCAAATGAAGTAAATTCAGTAAGGTTTCACACTGGAAGAAAGAAACTGGCTGAACCTACATTACACAGCTTTTGAGAACAGAATATCTGAGATTCCTGACATTCGGACAAAAATGATGAATTTTCCCAGTGGAACTTGACAGTGGTGTTTACCAAGCTACAACGTATGCTCTACACCAAAAATAAAGGTAATTGGGGGCTTACTTGACACTCATTTGACAGCAGACAACACCTATTCCTGGACACATTCGCCGTTACTAAGCTCATTCTTATTTAGCTGATTCCACGGCCAGAAGAAGGTGGGGTTTGGCGTCTCCTAATACGGTCGAAAAACATATATAAAACGTTCCAGAACCTCAAAGGCTGCGGGTGACGGCCGTCAAGCGGATCCCAATCTGTCTCTGCAATCGCATTCCCGAGCTGGATCGGCTCCCCACTGACTAGTGGGTCAGGATATTGAGCCAAAGGCTCCGGGTGGAGTCCCTCAAGCAAACGTCAGAAGCACAACGACCACCTCGGGTACGATTGCCCACCCATGCAATCGTATGGCTGGGCGCAAAGCACTCAGCATCGGGTGCTGGAACGTGCGCACACTACTGGACCGGAACTCCAGCCAGCGCCCGGAGCCATGCGCTGCACTGGGCGCGATGAAGCTGGCGCGCTACTACATCGATATTGCGGCGCTCAGTGAAACCCGGCTCGCTGAGCAAGGTAAGTTGCATGAAGCAGGTGCTGGCTACACATTCTACTGAGTGGGCAACGCCGCCTCAGCACCACGTGAACATGGGGTCGGATTTGCAATATCCGGTCGCCTCCATGGCCTGCTGGTGGGTGAACCAACGGGCGTCAGCGCGCGACTGATGACTGTTCGCCTACGACTCGGAAGAGGTAAGTTTGCTACTTATATAAGCACGTACCACGTGTTATCATGATGACCCGCGGGATCAATTCTACAGTCAGCTATCCTCTATGATACGGTCTGTGCCGAGCAGCGACCGACTATTTCTTCTGGGTGACTTCAACGAGCGCGTTGAGCATAGTGCATCAGCGTGGATAGATGTTATCGGTGCGCATGGCATTGGTTCAGCGAATGTGAACGGTGACAGGCTGATCTAACTGTGTGCCACTCACGGCCTGACGATCACGAACACTCGGTTTGCACTGGGTGCGAGTGATTTTGTAACTTGGACACACCCACAGAGTGGTCACGCTCACCTACCCAGGCTATGTTATCATACGTCAGTGTGATATGCGTGAATTGCGCATGACACGTGTACTGCGTGGAGCTGAGTGTGGTACTGATCACAAGTTGGTGAGGACCAAACTGTACAAATCTCTTCGTAAATCTGGTCAGGCGGAGAGGCAGATGGAGGTCATAACGCGCAGACTGTCGGATTCAACGATCAATCGACTCGCGGTGGTACACACACCCACACAAAGCGGCAGCGTGTGTTAATCGGCCTGCCTTAAGCGACGATGCAGGTGGAGCGCTGATAAGCGTCCCTAGAGCTGCTCAGTTGATGAGCGGAGCAAAAAGGCTGTAACTTTGTTATGCTGCAACTTGCAGGGATGGTTGCCGCGTAATTGGTGAGTCCACAACTTCTTCTTCCGAATGCGACCAAAATCTTTTCCGAAAGACTGGTTTAATTTAGTTACACAAGTGGAATTCGGCAAATAATATGCCGAAAACTTGATACTGGAGCTGCAGTGTAATCCACACAGGTTAGATCCAGGAAATGGAAAGCACTGAGTAGAGCTCGTCGAACTGGTTCGAACGAGCGCAAGCAGAATATTATGTGGGGAGAATTGGAGTCGCCACAGAGGGCAAAGCGAGAGACGAGTTAAAATGCGGCCGCAGAATGTACCCGTATAGGATCGGCCGGAACCGGACGACGTTAACTTCCATGTTGGCTGTAGTAGTCTATTCGGCGGCATTTCACATCTCTAACACAAGCGTGTCATTCCTAAGCGCAGTACTTATCGCTCTTATTGGTTGATAAATCTTGCTTCAATACAGTCGTCTACATTCATATCTGAGCGTAAGAATTGGTGGTCACCACTTCCCAATTCGTTAACAGGCTTGGTTAGCGATGATGAATTGTTCTAATTTTCAACATATGTCATGCATCTGTATAGCCACTGGTTAAAACTTGTATAACCAACTCAGCCTTGCCTTGTTCAACATCAAATTTATGCAGTTTCAAAAAATCTACAACTCAAAGTATTAACTTGTCTCCGCTGTGAAGCCTGTTTTGAATTCACTGTTTGTCAGGCACCGCTATAGACGGCCCTCCGAAATGCGGCTGGTTAGATCAAATTGCTTGTCTTCATCCGCCAGTCAAATGGGGAGAAAGATATTTCATGACAGAAGCCAGAACAGGTTATATCCCAGCAAACCACGTCATCTATCCAGACACAAATTCACTGTTAACCCAAACCCGTGTCTATGGCATCGCACAATGCAACACGTTGACAACGGGTACTCCGTATGTACCATCAGCGAATGCATCCATAACTGGGACAGCGCTTTCCAGGACTGCTAGAATCGGTATAAAACACCAGTCGGATGCCGTTTACGATGAGGTACACAACTCTGTCTACTCTTCGAGTTTGAACGGACCAGGGGGACGACGGGGGGTGGAGCACATACAGGTTTGTTTGCAAGTCAAACCTTAAAATGTATTCCATACATTATTCAAACCAGTAATTGCTAATCTATGATATCTAGTAAACAAGACGGTTTTTGTTATTGTTATGTTCACACATACACAATAATGGACGTTTTGTGTTTGGTAGTTTGTTAGAATATATCGAATTGAGACCTACTAAAGTGTGTCGTAGTATTATCTCGTGGTTAAGCTTAGTCTATCAATAAAGGTGTATAGTTATGTAGTCAACCAACAATTCCGACATAATAGGAGTATTAGAGCGCTGCTGTCTTTATGATGATAAGCAAATGTTTTTCTATGAATTCTAAAGATTTTAATACAGCTGTTGGAAATTCCACATGTTCCTTTCGCTGTTATGGATCCGATGGATGTATTATTAGTTGCTATGAAAGTTAAACTTCCAACGTGGCTGCTGTGACAGAATTGTGCAAGCAAACGGCTAGCGTACCGCAAAGGAACGGAGCAGTTGTTCTGACGCCTGCACATATTTGTCTACACGATGATGGGTTTACTGGAGCGGGTTTGTTTAACTGATTCAAAGAAAGAATCTCAGAAGTGCAGCAGCGTCGTTAGTTATGGAAATAACAGTTATTTATATCAAGGTCATACATGCTTGATAGGCTGCCATTTTGCTGAGCTTGCTTTGTCGGATAAACCGGTCAATGAAGGATCGAGTTCTGCGACAGCCGCTACGCACTCAAAGGCAAATTTCTTTTTTGGTCTCTGCTGCTCACGGAATTCGATGAGCTGCCTTCGATTGTGACAAACAAGTTGTTTTTAATTAGACTTAAGTCGTTGTTCATTCTTAGTTTCACATTGCATCACCGAATTTTTCCTTTTGTGGTCGCTCCAGAGGAGGAGAGCTTGTGCTAAGGTTGGAAGAGAAGACCTACAGATGACCAGCATCAGAATAAGGGTAACCGAAAAAGCCGCTTTCGGTGGATGTCTTCAGGCTGGTACACCACAACTAATAAGAATAAAATGAGTTAAAACATCAGGCGGGAGTAAAGTTAAAAGGGTACAGTTAAAAGGTCTGGGCCATCTAAATGACAAGGTCAAGTGCTTGGTTCACAAACGGACAATAACATGCCAGTTACATGTTTCTCAGCAGGGGTTACTGTAATATGGGGCCAAGAAAGAGAGAGAATCTGAACCAATTGCTTTTGTGCACATAAGTTTGGGTTCTGGAGAAGGAGGGCGATCACTTCGTCTGTTGCTAATAAGTGACATCTTACTGCTTGTGTGTAGCATCCAGATACGCGGTAAATTGGCTGAAAACATTGGTACCTATCGACCTGATGGTTAAATTCAATTAGCTGTGTCAACACAGAGCTTGTTACTGTTTTAGTTCCACCTGCACACAACCAACTCGGGCAATGCTCACTGATTCTCTCAGGTAGTCTCCTGGTTGTCCTTTTGATATAACTTGCTCGACATGAACAAGTAAAGGATCATACAGAGAAAGAAGTGCTCGACCGAGGAAGTCTGTTCTTGAGTTGAAGCCTTACGATTGGTGTTAAAGTAACTCTTAGCCGTAAGCTTGCCGCGTATTAGGTACGCTTTACGGCGTCGGATAGCCTCCTAGACGTTGTCTGCGCTATTCCACTCCCTTTGAACGGCAACGACAGATAAACCAATTTCTTTTCAACCGAATCGGTATTAGCCCTCGATTCTCGGCACTCCATATTTCTTCCAACAAACGTTTCGGGATAGCCGTTTTTTTCAAAAAGACCAGCTAAGAAATTCAGCTCGTCCGGAAGCGTGTTCTCACTACATCTTCTTGCTCTTTCTGTTAAACATCAAGTTCCGCTTCTGACTTAGTAAGACAAAGCTGGCAAAGTGTATGTATTGTCTAGTTCACGTGGCTTTTCTATGCACCCTGTGTTGGATCGACTCATCTGATCTTATGCTAATTTGGTCGTCTAGGAAAGACATCGTCCCATGAGGTTCAGGTTTCACGGTAAACTTAGCGTTGTCACGCGCTGTTAATAAATTGATAAAATTTACTCTGTTCTGCAATGACTGTCTGTCACACAAAATGCAATCTACATAGCGGCCGTAATAGGGTAATACGCTTATGACTCCGCTCAGGTAGTTGTTTTCTAATTTGTTAATGAATAGATCTGTCAATAGCGGTCCTAGTGGTGAGCCCATCGCTACTGTGTATTTTTGTCTGTATGTTATTCCATCAAACTGAAATTATGTGTTGCTAGTACACAACATGACTAGCTTTTTCAACCGATTGTTCGAAAGGCCGACGTTCAGCTGATGTGATCGGATGGTGTCGCATAGATAGTCTATTTTCTCTTCCAAAGGAACATTCGTGAAAAGCCGCATGATGTCCAACGAAAACACCTTTCTTCCGGTTAGATTGTCTTATAAGGTCTAAGAGGCTAAAGGTATCATGGAGACTATACATGGATTAAAATTTTAACACTGGTTCTAAAACCTTAGTTAGCCGCTTGACTGTTGCGTGGTAAGGTGAACGGCACATGTCCAATATGAGTTTAATTGGAAGCCCCTCCTTAGGTACCTTTGGTAGACCGTAAAATGGAATCAATCTCCCTGTGGGGCGAAGTTGTTCGAACGTGGTAGAGTTTAACTAGTTTTCTTGTTTCAGGTGCCGCAGAAGCCTAGTAACTGTCTTTTCTATTGCCGCCGTTTTGGCTCTCTCATTCCCCATTTTACGGAACTTTGCGCGACCGCTGAGGATGACCTCCATTATATCAATATAGTCAGTTTTCTCTATCAGAAGGATCTCCGCCCCTTTATCCGGCCTAAAGAGCAGCATATCCTCGTTTCGTTTGAGTGCTTTGAGACCGCCTACGTAGTGATTCTTTAGCACATACCTAAGTTGGGTTTATGGTTCAGATACTGATAACATGTATTAACTAGGATAGATTTAAAATGCGCGGAAGCTAATGGTGACGTGTGGAAGTGAAGTGTAGACACTTTAGAATACAAATTTTCCTACTGAAGCTCTAATTAGTTGTCTTGAATAACTAGTGGGACAGCAGAAATTCGGACCAAGTAAAAGTACCTCTGACAGTGTCTTATCCAGGTGCAACGAGGCAAAATTGTCGATGTACATTTCCGCGTCGGCTGGAAATTAACTGCTTACCTTAGTCGTGCCAACTTGTCACTGTAATGACTCTCGAGGTTTTTTTTCTTATTTTGTGATTATTTGTTAAACAAACGTTTAGAATCGCTTGCGCTCATCTGCGTCCAGTTCGTTCAGAATGACGGAATACGCGCACCGGTTACGCTCCATATCAAGTCTCGAAGTAGTGGTGTCACGCTCGTTCAACGTGTGTCGTTTCAAAGCCACCTTAGTCGGACTAATCCGATTTCATCGGTATTTTCTAACATGTTGAGCTATTCGCTACATAAAATACAATCATCAAGGAACTGCATGGATGCTGTCGCTACCGCAGCTTTGTGCAAAAGTCAACATGCTGGTTAAGTCCTTTGAACACAACGGGATCTTTGGACTGCTTCAAGTGAGCAAATATCCCAGGTATAGACATCAGAACAAGCGTCAGCGAACAAACTCTTTTTCGGTGGATGTCGCCAGACTGGTACACCACAACTGATACGAATAAAATGAGTCAAAACATCAGACGGGAGTAAAGTTCAAAGGGTGACGTTAAAAGGTCTAGGCCATCTAAATGACAAGGTCAAGTGCTTAGTTCGCAAGCGGTCAATGACATGTGTGGTAGGCTAATCTAACAAAGCAGAGGCAAGTCCTGACAGGCGCAGAATGCTTTTAAAATCCAAAACTTGCACTTGTGCATTACAGTATTGGTATTATTTCCCATACGCTACCTTATTGCACAGCGTACTAGAGTTAAACAAAGGATCTCTTTTCTCACAAGTTTTGATGGTTTAGTGTTCTGAGAACTTTCTCACAATTATTTGACTGCTGACTTCTTAACCCTGTTTCAAGTATCGGGTGCATGGTAAGCAGTGAGTAGTGCTTTAGAACAGGTAAAACAGCGAATAAATGATAAGTCGTAGGATGCAGGGAAAGAGGATTATAAAACCAGAGGTACGTAAAAGACAGTTAATGGGTAACATTCGGGTTTTAGATGACTCACCAAGCTAACTGGATGAATCTAGATGCGGTTTTTCTCAGCGCAAATTTACCGAGAGGGATGGTGATCACATCACCTGATTTCCGTAATCCCGCCTTCTGAGTAAAAGGGACAGTATCATGTATTTCAAATGGGATAGCGTGTCATTACTGCATCATTTTAGCGTGTTAACTAAGGCGTAAAAATAACATAAGCTGGAAGGAAGCTCCATATTCGGGATACTAGCATGTGGGAATAACTTTGTAAGCAAGTGGACCGCAGTGCGTGATAAGCTTGAGCCTGTTTGCATTTTATGCCAGCATTTTGGTTACGCTGTAATATTGCACGATTGGTGTGCCTAAGTTTCTTCAGTATCAGGTAAATCATGATGAGATCTCCTGGCGGACACCGATGTTCATCGCTGTACAATCCAAAGGTTTACAGTCTGCGTTAATATAAAAGGTAAAACATTCCACTTAAAGAAATCTGTCACTCTGCCTTGTGAATCTCCAGCACATCAATATCGTGTTTACGCCATAGAAACCAGGTTTGGATTGCGATTTCCACCTGGAGCCCCACGTAGACATTCCGTGTTTGGGGAAAGATAGTTGGCCCCATCTTTCTGAAGGCCCTTCATATGAGACCAACGTTTTGACTGGCTCTCTTTGGTTCTATTCCGGTCTTTTTCTGACAGCCAATATTACCCTGAAGATACGCTATGAAATCGATTTCGTGTGCAGTGTGTTGCAGACTGCTATTCCCCAACTAGATATCTATGGGTATGTTGATGGCTTATGCACAAACGTTGCATTTTACCTCGTTGAATATCAGAATGTCCTCATATAAGAACCCGCAGACCCTAACGAGACCACTCTATAAAGTTGTGTAATTGTCTAGTGTCTTAATCTTA